TCTTGGACTCCTCATGCTGGCCTGCTCCCACCACCCTCTATGCATCTGATGGTTAAGCACTCAAGCAGGACACGATAATCACAAATACTAGTTCCCATTTCTGAAATGTTTTCCATTTCCCCCCACTTCCACATTAGTATTATCAGAGTTAGCACTTACTGAATGCTTACAACATGGCAAGTACTAATTATATTGTATCTCCTATCAAACTGGTGGTTCGAACCCACCAGCTGTTCCTTGGGAGAAAGATGTGGCCGCTGCTTCTGTGAGATTTCACAATCCTGGAAACCCTATGGGGTAGCTTCTACCCTATCTTATAGGATTGCTGTGGGTCACAATGAACTCAACAGCAATGGGTTTAAGATCTTTGAAAAGTTTTCTAGAATTCTCACAAGAGCCCTACACTGGATTTATTCTCATTACTGCCATTTACAGTTGGGGAAGCTGAGGCTAAGAGAGCTAAGGGTCACACAGAGGAGGAAATTAACAAATCTGTCTCAGAGGCCATGCAATGAGAAACCACTGCCTTCTCTGTCCTACCTGAAATAAACGAGCACTTCCTTAACGCGGGCCTGTTGGACAGAACTTCTTGTGCCTAGAGAACCACCACGAGGCCATCCGGATCCGTGTCAGAATTTGGTGGTGTTCTTAGAATCCAGGGCACAAACCTGCTCTTTCCTTCTCATACACTGGCCAACCTGATTGTACGTGCCAGATTTATATCAACATTCCAACAAAGGCCAAGGAAGTTAGACGTATTCTTGAGACAATCAATTTAATGCCCTGGTTCACAGGCTCTCTAGTCCCACCCTCCCATGACTTCCACCTACTACCATGACTAGCCTTCCTTGGCAGAGCCCTCTCTCTGCCTCACAGGCAACACTGGCCAAGGTTACCGCCAACTCCAAGGACCCAAGGTGACCAGTGCTCTGGTGACTCTGAGTCCCTAGATCAAAATTTACTCTTCTTTGGATCACAATCAACTGAGAATTCCCAAAGTAATTCTGGGTTCATGTCCCTAAGACATTTAGCAATAAACTCATTTCTTCAGGGTTAGGCAAACCTCAGCCCATGGACAAATCCACTTACGGCCTGTTTTTATATGGCCCATGAGCTAAGCAAAGGTTTTACAACTTTAAAGAATTTTTTTTTAAGCAACGAAGAATAAGTGGCAGAGATCATGACCTCTTGAACCTAACATGTTTACTGTCTGGCCCTTTACAGACATGGTCTGCTGGTCCATGACCTAGTTGATCTTTTGTGCCCTCAGAGGTAGTGAACTCTCCCCTGCTGACCCGCCTCACACCCCCTTGTGCTGCCAGTGTGTGCTTATGAGTGCCAGAGAACAGTAAACTAGTCAAACAAGTTCTCTGGCCAGCACTAAAATATCCTCACAAATTCTTAGAAGTACGGAGAAACAAAGCAAGCAAACTGTGGTTATCAAGTAAGTTTTCAAACATCTTGTTGAATTGGTAAAGTATTTATTAAAGTCAGTGGTAACTGGGTTTTAAAAACAAAAACACAAAGCTTCCACTATCGACTTGATTCGAACTTATGGTGACTGCGCTACAGGGCTTCTAGTGGCTGATGGTTTGGAAGTAGATCGTCAGGCCTTGCTTCTGAGGGGCCTCTGGGTGGAGTACAACCTCCAATGTTTCATTAAGTAGCTGAATTGTTCACACTATCCAGGATGCCAAGACACCCCCACCCTCCCCCCAGAGAGGGGGTTATATGTAGATCCTTGTAATCGGTTTCCCCTTTCTACCCCACCTTCCCTCCACCCTCCCGGTCTCGCCACTCTAACCACTGGTCCTGAGGGGTTCATCC